CGGACCACGCGGCAGGGCGGAAAAACGGCCGCGGACCACGCGGCAGGGCGGAAAAACGGCTGCGGACCACGCGGCAGGGCAGAAAAACGGCCGCGGACCACGCGACAGGGTGGAAAAACGGCCACGGACTATACGGCAGGGCGGAAAAATGGCCGCGGACCACATGGCACGGCCGGGAAAATGGCCGCGGACCACGCGGAACGGGCGGAAAATGGCCGCGGACCGTGTGTCACGGGAGGGAAAATGGCCGCGGATCTGGTTCGTAACTCGAGGTGATTCGCAACACGAGGTAAATTTTTGGGGCTGGAGCTGGTCGTATCATACGAAAAATTTGTAAGGAGGGGCGTTCGTAACTAGAGGTACCACTGTATCTACATACGTCTATTCTATAGAAAATTCTTTACATGATTGGCTTTTATCTTTCTCTAGATCTAATGGAAATTGTACCACAAGTGCTCCCCTTCCACTAAGTTACCCACAAAATTCACTACCAATTATTCCTTGCTGTTCAAATTGCCAGGCATTCTGGCCTACACTGGTTGCAGCATTTACAATAAGCGAGGCAATCTAGGAGATTCCAAGGTTTAATTTCAAAAGTGAATTGCCACAAATCTTAAAGAATTCATACTTGTAAATGTGCACTCAGTGCTATATGTTCATGAAAACATTTCAACCGTCTGCAGTTCAGACATTATGCTTTGCCAAAATATGGAAGGTTCAGTTTTGGCTAAGCATGTTGCATAAACTCAATTAATTATGGTTTAATAAACAAGTTATTAGTTTAACATGGTATGAATTACCGTATATACTTGCATATAAGCTCATCTGCAGATAAGCTGACTGTCAAATTTTTAACCAAAATACCATGAAAAATGGCCACCTGCGGGTAAGCCAATCTGTATTTTTCATGGTATTTTGTTTAAAATTTGAGGGTCTGCTTATACGCGGATGGCCTTATACACAAGTATATATGGGAATGATGGGTACTTATGTTGGCCAATCAGCCTAAATTACATGAAACATGCTAATGCTGATAAAAAGTGTATTCTTACAACAAAGAGAAGTTGTTTAGTCCTTTCCACATGCTTCAAAAACTTATGGCCTCTTCCTTTATTTGCATGGGCACCTTCTATCAATCCTGGAAGATCAGCAACTGTTATCTAAAGGGGAAAAAAATACATTTTTTTAAAAAAATGGCAATAAGGTTTGGGCCTGATGAATTCACTCAAGTGAATATCAAAATCATTAGGAAGCTAGTGGCTTCCATGTGGTAATTCTGCAGTCCAAAATAATGAGAAACAGCTAAAAACAAGATATTCATGTGGATAAATGAATGAATATACATACATTACCTATGGTCATTTTTTTTCTATATTCACCTTTCTGAAAATAAATATTTAATATCAAAGCAAAGGGTGGTAATCCAGGCTAATTCATTTTCTATGTTTATCCCATACTTTTAAATTGCTGTTTATGATTGAATAATCTCTTAAAAGTTGTGCACTTCTGTTTATATCAAGCCAAATATATTTATGCAAACCATTTGAGTTGTGCTCCCTCGATGGAAGCAACCTAACCACAAGGTGATGTACTCTAAAAATACAGCTGAGGAGTTAGTGACGTGCCAGATGGAAGCTGTGATAAGTCATATAATAAGATGAAAAAAGAGCCCTTCTGGATCACACCAAAAGCCTGTCTAGCCTAGTATTCTGTTCCAATAGAAGAGAATTCTATTGGAATTCTAGTATTCTGTTCCCACAGTGTCCTGCCAGATGACTGTGGAAGTCCTCAAGCAGGGCATATGTACAAAACAGCCTCCCATTTTGGTACTCAGCAACTGATATCAAGAGAAATACTGGAGATAATTTATAGGCATCAATTCATCATTATCAATAGCCTTATTTTCCATGAAACTCCCATGAAACTGTCCAAGTTGGCAGTTACTACTAAATCTTTCAAAACCTGCCCTTGAGAATGTCAACCTCTTTTGGGATGTCTATAAGTAATTGGAACTCTTCGAAATAATTGGAAGTAAAAAATATTACCTTATATAAACATTATAAATAAGTTCCTTCACCACCTGTAGAATCATTTTTTTTCTTTTTCTTAAAGAATAGCAAAAAGAGCATACTCAAGAAAAATCTGCTTTAACTGAGATTGTCTGAAACATTATTTTAACTCATTATTGTCTCAGCTACAAAACAAATTTCTCTAACATGGAAAAGTCCATTACTGACTGAAAGATCATTAGGAGAGAGGGGCCTCTCTCTTTGTTATTTAGCATTAACCATAGCCCGTTATCAGGTTTGAATTGGCAAACTATGTATGTAGTCCCGCTTTAAAGCAAGTTTTTATTTGATTAACTTTGGTTTGCCAATTTATATGACAGAGAAAGTTACAGCGAGGAGAAAAAGGGAGTAGAGGGAAGAAATATGTAACAGGGGAAGGGGGAACATAAGCGCAGAAGCTCATTCAAGGTTTTCCAAGCTGTGCTTAGGAAGATCATCAACTTGAGCCATAAGATCTGCATCATGGCACACTCATTTTGGTGCTGATTAATGGTACCAAGAATTTACTCTTGGTTTACTCTTCTAAGCCAGGAATAGGCTACCACATGTTTTGTCTCACAATACCATCTAACACAGTAAAGGATTATTTGAGATGTAGTCCAAATCACCTGGAAGATACTACTGGTCTAAGTTGTCTAAATGAAGACAACAGGCTCTTTTCACTTGGGTCATAAGGATTCTCAGGAGTCTGAAGAATTAAGTTATTACCAAGTAATTTCCAAGCTTCAGAACCAGAAGCTTGTAGAGTAACTGACAATACTGTGCTTTCAGGGAATAAATACAAATGTGTTCATCAATGCCTGCTACAAAATATAATAAAGGTTTGTATGGATACTCTATTAGTTTTTTTAAAGCATTTAAAGAAAACTCTTAAATTTGGTAAGTAAAAAAAATGACCGTAGGCAAACTTGATTATCCACTATAACATTACAACAATTGATTCATACAATCCATTTGGACAAAGATTAAAGCATCCTCTATCAAGGCCTCTAGATCCAGGTTACAGGAGGAGGAAAAAACACCGTCCGTCATTTCACGTTTGTAAACTTTACTTTAGAGTTAAAATTATTAGATACCTCTTGATACAAGCCTTTAATCTTAGAACGGTATTTCCAAGGCTACTCTCCTGTACCATTTATAGATTTTTGCACATCAAAGTAAAAAGAAGGTTAAATAGAATCCCTAAAAGCTTTGTGAAATAATGCAATTGTCAACATTAGATCAAAATATAGTACCATAAATTCCATATATGGAAATATAATTATCCTGAACAAAGATAGCTAATTTACAAATGGTTTTACCAGGCCTTTATTTTGTAATTTACAGAAAAGTAAAAAATTCTCAGGGAGGCTCATTAGATCACTCTGAGCTTTAAAACATGAAATGTTACTATATGACATATGTTAAAGTCAAAGATATCTCCATTATTTGAGATGAAAAGTGTATAATAAGCCTACTACGTGCCTGGTACCTGAGGAAGTTTCATACGCTCCTTTTAATTTCGGGTTTTTGGGCTACCACCCTCCCAAAAAAACCCTCGGAAATTAAGCATGACATTTAGAGACAGTGCTTAGAAAGCTATATCCCTTGTCCATATCTATAAATTAGGCCCGTGCAAAATTACTTAGATTTGCTTCTATCAAAATATTTGCACTATGGACATCCAGTGATTCTCTGTGAAAACAAAGATGCAACATAATTTGCCTAAGTAAGCAACCTGCATCATCTCAAACTACCTTGAGTTAGGACTGGAAGAAGGCTCCTATCCTTCCTCCTCAGTGCTGCCTTAAATGCTTCTGCGATGGGTTCCTTCAGTGTACTCTGAGGATTCAAACTGCACCAAAGCATGAAAAATCTTCACAGTGTGCTGAAGTGGCTTTAGGCTAGAAGCTGCCCAGCCTGGAAAAATATTTCCACGTGCTGCAGGAGAAGGATCCCCTCAGTCTCAGTTCTGTGGAAAAGGCTAAGAGGAGCTATGGAGCAGAACACGAAGCAAAATAGTTGCTTCACTTTCAGAAGGGAAGGGAGCATGTATGTTTGGGAAGTATAATCAATCTAAATGAAAGTAATCTGATCTTATGGAGTGGAGCTGATAAACACATGCAAGGAACTGAAAGTATAGGTTTAATTATGAAAGAAAGGGCTAAAATGTAAATTAAAAAAATAAATTGGTATCATCTGGAATGCTGTGGCTTTGTGCCTAAGGTGGGACTAGAACTTAGAGTCTCTTGGTTTCTAACTTGTTGCCTTAATCACTATACCAAACTTGCTCTCAGCTGGGTAACCTTGGGCCAGACACTCTTTCTCAGTTCTCTCAGTTCTAGGAAGGAGGCAATGGCAAACCACTTCTGAAATCTTGCCAAGAAAACTGCAAGGATTTATCCAGGCAGTCACCAGGAGTCAACAGTGACTCGAAGACACACACACTGGAGTGCTGTGAGCATGTATGAAAGCAGGAATTTATAAATAGTTGACAGATGCATACTACAGAGAATGGTGATAATTGTAGAACCCCACATAAGTCTGTGGGAAAACTGCAAATACTGAGTGAATGTGATGCAGGGAAAAATAATGTTAGCTGGATGGGTAAGAACAAGATAAGATACAGAAAAAGTGATTGGGCCACCTGGAGACCCAAATAAGAATGGCAACTGTTTGGTGAGTATCAACTTAGAAAAATGACTGTTTCAGATATGTGGTTTAAAGATAAATCTATTCATGCATACAAGAAACAAGTATGAATTGAAAAGCACGATTGATCTGATTATTTATGATGAAAGACTGAGAGAATTAGTGAAGGATATAAGGATGTAGAAAGATTCTGAATGTGAGACAGATCAATTTTTTGATAGTTTATCTTGTAAAAAGATTGACATGAAAGGAAAGAAGTGAAAAAAAAATAGAGTGGAGGAAGGAGGAATTTAGGAAGAGAAAATATGAGTCTTGTATGAAAAATGATTGGAAGATCAATCTCCCAAGAGAATGATTGGATAGGAAATGCAGAAGCTGCTGGGAAGAAAGCGAAAAGAATTATGTTACAGAGTGCCCAGAAGAATGTGGAGTCATGCTAATGGGAAATATTTTTTTAAAAAAACCTTAATGGAATGATGAAGTGAAAGAGGCTGTGGATTACTACATAAAATGAGATTTTTAAAATTATAACAAAAATTGGGGAAAGAAATATATTTTATAATGTGTAAACTGAAAAAAAAAGATAGTTCCAAACAATGCAGTCAAAGAAAGCAAGAAACAATTAAGAATAAAAGAGGGAGAGGAAAATGCAAGGTGATTCTGATGGAAATTAAAAAATGTTTTGGAAATAAATGAGGAGGACTAAGCAAGGAGCCTCCAGCAGACTGAACAGGATAAAACATAATAATGGTGAAAATACTTGGGATCAAGCTGAAGCAAAAGAACGGTGGGAGAAGTATTTTAGAGATTTTTTATGGGAATGACAGTGGTATATCAAATAATAAAACTGAAATGTACAGTATAATGTAAATGTTAGTGTCCAAGAAAAATGATGAAAAGGAAGTCACAGATGCTGTAAGAATGTTGACAAATGGTAAATTTGCAACTGTGTGTAACTGGAGAAATATTAAAATATGGATATGATTTAGGTAAGGAGTGGCTATGCAATTTGTTTAATATCTGGGTGAGAACTGCATCCATGCTTGGTAAGGGAACAATGATATTCCCTTAAAGTGAAAAATAACCACAGTGAATGCAAAAATTTGGGGGGGATTAGTTCCTTAAATATACTTGGGAAGGTGTATGGCAGATTTCTTATTGAAAGGGTACAAGAGGTAACAAACAGAAATATTTCGGAAGTGCAACTTTAGGTTACAAAGAGGGTATGCAAGCCAGATTTTTCTCTTCAGGTCACTGAGAAATGTAGGAATGGGAGAAAGTTTATTGTACATTTGTTAATTTAGAGAAAATGTATGATGAAGAGAATAGGCTTGAGTTCTGGAATATTTTCCATAATATGGACATGAAGATTAGTAGTTGAATTTAATAACAGCAGTATATGATGTTAGTAAGTTATATGTGAGAATAAACAGAATGCTTAATTATTAGTTCAACATTGAGTGGGGAGTAAAACAAGGATGAGTAATCTGTGAGTAATGTCCCCTTAGTAGTTCAATATATTTGTGAACAAATGTATAAGGAATGTTTGCGGGTCACAAATCTGCATGTATTTTTGTATTCTGATGATGCTTCGTTGCTGGCTGAAAACCCAAATGATTTACACCAAATGTTATACAGACTGTATGATGTAATAAGGAATATGGATCTGAAAAGTATCAAAGACAAAATAGTTTTTTAAATTTTTTTGCAGGAAAAACAGAGTGAATGATTGCGGGTTATAGATAAATGGCAAAAGACTAGAACAAGTAGATGAATGTGTGTACCTTGGTAGAATGTTTACTAAAGACCGAAAACTTGATGAAAAAATGTCATGATGTAAAAACGCTAGTAGAATGGTAGTTAGATAGTATGTGTTGTGTTGAGTGGAATGAATGTTTAAAAGCAAAACTGGCTAATAACATGCTTCTGTCCATATAGAAGCAAGAATTGAATATGTCAGGAAAAATATAAAAGTTGAATGCCATGCAAATGGAGTACCATTGAGAGCCAGTCTGGTGTAGTGGTTAACGTGCTGGACTAGAAAGGAGAAGACTGTGAGTTCTAGTCCTCCTTTAGCCATGAAAGCTGACTGGGTGACTTTGGGCCAGGCAATCCCTCTCAGCCCAACCCGCCTCACAGGGTTGTTTTTGTGGGGGAAATAGGAGGAGGGAGTATGGATGCTGGTTTGAATTGTACAAAAAAATCAAGGGAGTAAATAACAACAACAATGCCAGAATTGAAAAGATGCAACAGACAGTAAATGCCACCTCTGAAATATCATTTGCCTGCAAGCAAGAACTGATGGGACCACAAAACTGACAAAGGAATAGAAAATGAAGATGCTAAAGTGCTCTGGGACTTTAGAACTCAAACAGATAAGC